GATCGGGGGCGCTGGGCGGGAGCGGGAGTAGAAGTGGGAGCGGGAGTAGAAGTGCGCCGAGGGGTGGGGAAGTGCGCCGGGTGGAACTAGGGAGTCGTTTCCTGTGGGGGGAAATGTGTCGGGAGGGGGAGGAACGGCGCGGGCGGGGAAGAAATAGCGCGCGCGAAGGAGTAGAGCGCGGCGGGAAAGAGAGAAGGGGGGGCGTGAAAAAGAAGAAGGAGAAGAAGAAAATTTAAAGAAGAAGAAGAAAAAGAAAAGAAACAAGGAAGAAAAAAATAAGAAGGAGAAAAAAAATAAAAAATAAAACTGTCGTTGATTACTTATCTGCGCGACGGGAACGACGGCGATGACAAGGACGGCGCGGCGCAGCGATGGGCACGGTGATGATGACGTGGCACAACGGCGGCAATCCCGTCGATGACGATGATGACGGGGCACAATGACGACGATCGCGATGATGACGATGATGCCGTGGCACAACAACTACGACCTCGACGATGATGTTGATGATGGCCGGTGACGACGTCAAAGTAGGGTGGGTCGGGCGGGTTCGAACCGCTCCGATACGAGTGTAACGAGCGTGAGGCTGAGGGTGAGCCGAGGGAGAGGAGAGAGAGGGAGAGAGTGAGAGCACACACACACACTCACTCACTCGACACGACGGACTCGGACTGAGGATCGGACGCAGACACAATGGCAAGGCACAAAGTCGAAGTCTTGGATTCCGAATGTCGAAACAGCAAGTCACACTGAGTACGAGTACAGAGAACTGGTACGAGACTCGTGCCCCGTACCGTACGGGGAGCCGGTGTAAGTACCGGTGACACGTACGGTACCAGGGGCATTTCTGCAAAGGCCCCAAGGGCAGAACCGAAAAATGCAGTATTTGAAAGTGGCGCCCGAATTGCAGCATGGCGCCAGTTGTCCAAAATCCTACGGTACCAAAGGAGGGGTTTGGAAAAGGGGTGCCAGGCCGAAAACGGGATGCAGCTGAAACAGCAAAAGATAGACCAGGGATCGAGCCCTGGCGGAGTCTGTAACAGGACCTCATCCATACCACCTTCATCTAAAGTGAGGATAAGATGATCCTTGGTCCTAATCTGACCAGAGATGGTACGACCTTTCCAGTTTTTCCCCTTGTCCAAGTCCTTATGCCAGAAAGTGGAAACTAGCATAGACTCTGCCTCAAACAGCACCACCTCCCCACTCAACGTATCATACGTCATGGTGGGATGTCTACTCTTTTTTGAGAAGTGCCCACGCAGGGGCTCTGGCATGGCACGATAAAATAAGTTGGCCAACTAGGTCTCAGTGACCCCGTGTTCTGGGACGGCTACAAGCTCGTCCATTACGCCCTTGAGTGCTCTAGCACTCCTCCACTGACGTGAGTGGCTGGTTTGCACTTTGTCTGAGGCCCTTACGCCTCGAGTGACATCTGCAAATCGTTTCTTCAGTAATCGAAGGAATTCACGGAGAGGAGTAATTTTAGAATATGCTACCATGTTATTCTCGCATTATGCAGCGCGAGCGAGTGATCTAGCGAAGCTGGCTGCTTCGTCTTTGAGGGCCTGGAAAGCAATGAGGACTTGTTCCTCATCTACAATCTTACGCAGATAAACGTACGTGTTTATGTTTGCCTCCCAGTTGTCAAAATTTTCTTCCTTCTTCCCACTGTAGGGTTCAGGAAACTTAATCTTTATAGGCTCTCTACGAGGTCGTGCTTCCTCCTCCTTTGGGACAGCCAGCTTTGCGTCCTCAATGGCGCCTGTGCATAACTTCTTTGTGCCCTCTATCCTCGTTTGCATCTCTGCACCTACGTGCAGCATCATCTCGCGTGCAAAATCCCTGAAACCAAGGCGAATGGAGTGTAAGGCTATATCCTGGGCTCCAACGAACTGATGTTACTCGACCCAGGCTCTAGCTAGAAGTTCTATATTTCGGGTAATAATATCAAATTTACCTAGGCTACCAGAGTGGCCCGGGGTCACTTGCCCGGCCGGGCCGAAAACAATTAAAAAAATAAAAATAAAAAAATTATTTTTAAAATTTATTTTGTTTTCTAAATTTGGTGCAGAATTTCAATGTGACCCTGAGGCAAAAGTTGTTCAGTTTATTTTTCTGCATAACATAGTTTTTTTCCGGATTTTTTTGAATTTTTTTTTTTTTTGCTGGGACCTTCCCTGGTCCTTGCACAGGCTGGCCACCGGGACCCGGGCGGCCCGGCTGGTAGCCTAGAAATTTACCTTGTATATCTACTTGAGCCTAAATCTGTTCTCTCTGCTCCTTGATCGCCTCCAACTCCTTCGCCATTTTGCTCACCTCATCCATCCTCCTCTTCTTCTCCCTGGTGAGACGCAACTTCCACTGTAACTTCTTCTCCTCCTCTATTGTCTGGTGTCTCACTGCAACTTCCACTGTAACTTCCTTATCCTCCTCCTCCTTCCTTCCTCCTTTCTTTTCCACTTCACATACAAGCAAACAGATGGCGATTCACACTGGCGCTTCGCACCCACTCAAAGCTCAGAGATATGGAAACCGAGAACACAGTTAAGATGCAAAATCGCTTCAACAACTATGGCGCATCGGCGCCTGCACACCAACTTTCGGCACTGTGTCCAATACCACCGTTCACACATACTCAACTCTGGATCACCCTGAATACCACCACACACACACACTAATCGTATCTTCCTTCTACAGCCGCTATGGCCGCTCTATCACTACTGACTATAACTACGATCTCTCTCGTCAGCCCACCTCGTCTTCGGGCAACCTGCAGACCACCTTTGCACAAGACTCTGTAGCAGCGCTTCCGCATGGCTTACGCAGTGAATGAATGAATTACCAGGCGCTGCTCTTGATTTATACTTCTGTTTGCCGCTGGTCTGCCCCTTTCCACCAGGCCCTGGGTGTGCACAGTCCCACACAGTACTTGCTTGACCGGACTCGGTACGACTGGGACTGGTAACCCTGACTGCATGAGGTTGCACTGCCGACCCAACGCAGCTGGAGCTGCGACTCACCTACAGACCTCTAGCCTAGCAGTTTCGACCTCTACACAGCTAAGACCCCTACTTGACAGACCTACAGATCGAACCCCTACATCTACACAGACCTACGACAGACAAACAACCACTACCGAAACACACGTCACGGGTTCAAACACTCGGGGGTCAACTCGATACTGTACATGGGTAAGGTGAGGTCTGGGGATCGAACTCTAGGGCCCGCATCTGTGACTGCAAAAAGGTGAAAACCGTTTCATAATCCAATCCAAGCCAATCCAAATCCAAATCCAATTTCAACCAATCCAATCCATCTTGCTGACAACTCACCTTGAACTGCCACGCTGCAGATGACACGTGCACGGCTCTGGCTGTCTGCTGTACTCGTGGATGAACATTGTCTTCTCCGTGATGCGAACGAAACAAAGCTTGAAGACAGCAGCAACTGCGACGAGAGTCTGCGGTCAAGAGGAAGAGACGATGATGAAGGATAAGATGAACAGGAAGGTAGTGATGTCAACAGAGAAGGCTTAACTCTGCAAGGCAACAGCTGCGGACATGCCACTGAGGAGCCTTGAGATCCGGCATGGACAGAGGTGGCGGTGACGGAGGACGGGCAGGCAACACTCATCAAGCTTGCTGAGAGGAGCGCCATGAAGGAAGAAAGCAATGAAGATATCAATGACGAAGCCTCCTTGCACCAACAGAGCAATGATAGCTGGTCCACTGCACTTGGTCTGGATACACACCAATCGAGGCGAAGGTTGGGACTTTGGGGAACCCAGGCACAGACTAGCAACAAAAAAGTTGAAACCGAAGAATAGACCAGGTATAGACCACAGGTACAAAGATGGGCCACTCACAACTGGTAGGACCGAGCCTCCAGTTCTTCAGAAATGCAGACCTACGTCCCTGGGTGTCGATACCAGATCCGTCCGAGTTCTGGGAATCCTGTAGCTGAGCTGTTCCAGGCCCACGGATATGGTCACACCGCCTGTTCCCGATCTGTCGACCTGGCCCCTGGACCTACTTGCAGCCCAGGCTGTGGCCACTAGATCTTTCCTGCATGTCTCCTTCTCCTTGAATCCAGTTCGTGAACGTGATCTGTGAAGGTCTGGCCAGAATCTGCAACAGGGACAGCAAACGAAATCAAATTGGCAAACATCAAACAAAATCCTAGCAGTGAGTGTCTGGCCCAAAATTCCAGCATTTGTGAGGCATACAGAGATTCGGACTTTCAGATGCATCGAGACGGCAAAAAAGTGCTGATGTCAAGATGAACGATCCATTATGTCTATCACATGTTCGGAGGACGTTCTGATTTTCCTTGAGGAAGTCTGAGGGCATGCTCGCACTAGCACTTTCTAAATGCAGATGGCTGCAATTATGTGAAGATATCTTTGCATCTAACTCCAATCACGTCCAGATCTCAGTTGAAAAAGTCCTACCGTCTTCACCCGAACAAAACGCCCGACCATTATAGCTGCATTTGGTCTGAAAGTTGCCCCAAATACAGCTATAATGACCGGGCATTCTAGTCCAGTGAAGATGGCAGTGAATAATGACCGGGCATTCTATTCCGGTGAAGACGGTAGTGTAAGTACGCCCTGAGATTGTGAGTGTGAGCCTGAAGTAGGTTGAGGCCTGTTGTCCTTCAAGACATCCATTAAAATGGGAAGAATACAGAGAAGATTAGCTAGCATGGCCCTTCTGCAAGGCCAACACACATAAATTGAGAAATGGTAAAAACTAATTAACAAACGAATAAGAAAAAAGGGTGAGGCCTGTGGATATTTGCAGTGGATGGCTCAGTGGACTTGCCATGCAAGAAGGGTTCATTGCGGTAGGCACGTCTTGAGGTGGTTGTTCAGGGAGGATTGCCAGAAAATGTATGAGTAGGCAGGTCTTCCGCGGTAGCAGATTGAAGCCATACTCACAGGAGGATTTTCCTGGATGTACAACCCCTTTTATGGTCAGGTCTGGATCCACCTGACAGCCAATGACGTCCACAGAGAAGTTGAAAATGTCCTAGTGTGGGTATATGCCCTGGATCCATCAGGAATGAGGTTTATCTGTGAGAAGCTTGTTTGCAGGATCATGAGATGCAAGAGTTGGTTCTGCAAGTCATCCGGGTGGTTTTCATTATTACCTTGACAGAACGGTTAGGATTAAGACTCGACAACGTCAACATCATGAGTAACAACACTATCCTTGCTCTGGATATTATCGCAATGATGTTATGAACCTGGTTGCTTGTTGTCAAAAGACCAACACTTGCTCACATAGACTTCCAGGTATGCCCACACATACACAGAAGGAAGGGGAGAGGATGGGAGTATCACACCGCGCACGGAGAGAGAAACACAGTGGAAGACTTAACCATGCGATATGACAGAGTACACTGAAAGTGCAATTCGCTCCAGAGAATCCTCACAACCAGTCACAAATGAAAGCCGAGTAGATCACATCCAGAAAACAATGAAGCAAAGATAGTCCACACACAGTAGTAATACTGTTTATTAAACTCAGAACATCGTTTTGACAGAATTGCCCCAGAACCATGGTGTGCTGCTCAGAAATGAGCAGCGCTTCTTCCCCAACCCTGAATAACCGCTATCACTACCCCTGAGTCCCTGAAACAACAAGCGCCACTGTTACATCTTCGAGTCACACGGGTCCTACCGGACCCGACTTAGGGCCGGAGGGACACACCAGGGCCTAAAGGCCCGACCTTTGAGGGTCACAGGCCCTAAAGGCCTGATTTTGCACTTTGAGGGTCACAGGCCCTAAAGGCCTGATTTTGCACTCAGCCCAGCGGGTAGGCCCAAACGACACTT